CCAAAACCCAACCTTGAACACGATATATCACCATAAAATAGATATATATATAGATAAATAGATAAAAATTAAGATAGGCATATATATATATATATATATATATATATATATATATATATATATATATATATATATATATATATATATATAAAGACAAAAGGAAAACGTTATCGGGGAAATTTAAGGATTTTATTTTATAAACAGAAGTAAAAAATTATCGTTAGATTTATAAAATTCTTGAATTGAAGGACGCTCAAAATATTCTTCAAGCTAACTGGGAAGTCAAGATAGACTATGGAAGATGCTAAGTGATGTAATTTAATGTTTAACAAACGAAAGTAATTAAATGTTGTTATTGCTGTTGATGAATTTTTATTTTATCATTTTTAATCATTTATTATATATATATATATATATATATATATATATATATATATATATATATACATGTGTGAAAAGTGTATATAAATATAAATAAATATATATATGTATAATTATTTATATATTATATGCGCGGTACTTATTAGAAAGCGCTCAATATCAGAGATAGAGCTAACATATTTGGTTGGATAGATGTGAGTTTGTGACCTGGGTTTCACGCTAAAGCTGACGATCGCTGACGATCGCTAAAGCGTGAAATCCAGGGTCACAAACTCACATCTATCCAACCAAATATATATATATATATATATATATATATATATATATATATATATATATAAAAGATATAAGATATGAATATACACTGAAATATTCACGCAAGCGAGTATAATTCTTGTGATTCAAATATTGATTGTCTGAAAGCTAAGACAAAGGCACCACAACCTAAAGTTATCTTAATCTGGCACAAGGCCAGACATTGAGAAATAAGAACAAAAACTATTGCGTTGCGTCAATTTGAATAAAATCTTACTTAGTTGTCTTTTACCTGTGTTCAAACACCGATATCTTGAGCCGGTGGAAAATTTAACAACTATTAACAACAAAATATTCTCCATCGCCCGCTTTCTCTCTCTCTCTTGATATATATATATATATATATATATATATATATATATATATATATATATATATATATATATGTATGTATATATATAGTAGCATGGCCCAGCGTTGCTCGTGCTTGATACAAAAATCGTACAACTCATACAGCAATCGCTATCACTTGACTTAAAATATTTTTGCCTTTAAAGGAGTGCCCTTTGCCGTGCTGATGTTGCTACATGCCTTACTTCTTGCCTATCTCACACTGCGAATTTTTTTCTAAGCGCTATACTAAACATTAATTCTGTTACGAAAAAAAGAACTAAACAAAATGAACACAAAACGATCAGTTTTAAAAAAGGACTCGTAACTGAAAAAAATACTTTTTCACACCCAACGCAGTTCTGCGGAATCAGAATCAACGTTGCTGGAATTGTAATAAAGCCTAAAAAAACATATGATGAAAGTGAATTTATAAATTTTTTTTTCTTGAGACTTTACAACAAAAATATTATAAACACTATTTATTAGATTGTTTATTTTCAGGAATAATTTTATATCTACAGCATTTTAAAAGCTAATACAATTGTATTAAAATAAACTCAATGACATATTTACAATTTATCAATTTATTAAAAAATAAATATGAAAACAATTTTTTATTCACAAATTTATTAACATTTACTAAATTATAAAAATATGAGAACCAACTGTAATAACGTCCTTATTATTTACCATTTTTATAAAGTTCGAATTTATTGACAATTAGCCGATTTTTTGACAACCATCCCAATAAACAATCTAATAAATAAATAGTGTTTAATAACTTTGTTATCTCAAGATCAAGGAAAATGTATAAATTCACTTTCATATGTTTAGGTTTTATTAAAATCGTAATCATTGCTTTTTAAAACAATAAATATAGCCAAGAAGTGAAGGTAGTTAAAATATTAGCGGTGTCAAGGGAAAAACCTTCTTTTTGAGGTTTCTCTTTTTTTACGGGCACGAAGGTCCAAGATTGCCAAAAATTGTATGTATTATATGGGAAGAATACTCATGTGACTCGAGCATATGTTGATATGAACAATGTGAATCAAGAAAGCAACCGTCTATGCTCACTGCCGGTCTACACTATTTATATAGCTTTATATAAATAAATGAAGTTTCAAACTGAAAACACATATAAGCGTACACAAAAGAGATAGAGAGGGCGTGAAAGCGAGAGAGAGAGAGAGAGAGAGAGAGAGAGAGAGAGAAAGAGAGTTAAGAAGACAAAACCCTTATGTTTAGAGATCAATCAATTGTCTACTAGGAGAATTCTCATGTTGACTTTGATGTGAAATTCTCTTCGATATGGTCAAGCTGAACTCTTTCTATAATTTCTTTAGAGAACAGTTAAATGTTATGATCTTTGTCTTTGTTTTCCTCTCTCTATAAAGTTTGCCTCTCAACTTGTTATCTTCATTTCATACAGTTTCATATGATATTTATAGATAAACAACGCAACACTGCATTTCTCCGCACTTTATCGTGAAAGGCGTGGTTCATTTTTTACCATAAAATATTGCTTTCTTCTCTTATTGGCATTTCCTAAGTTTATCTCCAATCTCGCGAGTGTAAAGATCAGAGCAATCTTTACAAGAAAAATGATATATAATACTCAACAACACACACGTTCGCGTACACGCATACTATATATATATATATATATATATATATATATATGAATGATAAAAATATAGTTTTATGGTATGCTAGATTTTTAGGTAAAAGGTGCTCAATATTAGAGATAGAGAGTATAGATGGCCTGAAGATTTCGTTGCGTTAAAACATGAAACAGACTGACGCCTCTTTGATGTTGACCTGACATATATATATATATATATATATATATATATATATATATATATATATATATATGTATATGTATATAAAGATATATATATATATATATATATGTGTGTGTGTGCATATACACGCACATATATATATATGTGTGTGTATATATATATGTGTATATGCACGCATATATATATGTTTGTATATATATGTATATATGTATATATATATATATATATATACATACAGATATACATATATATATATATATATGTGTGTCTGTGTGTGTGTGTATGCATGTATGTATAGTATATATATATATATATATATATATATATATATATATATATATATATAATTGTGGATTTGGGAAGCAATCCTCCTTATAGTTTTCTTCAAACGATTGGCATGGTACTGCATACAATTATAAATACTTTTTATTAAACATACCACCACATGTTTAAGGAAAAGACTGACATTACATCTCTCTAATTATAGCTCAATTAGGTCTCATTTGAACACACACGGAGACCAACGCAACTCCATCCACAACATACTCGTTGACAATACGAATCTAATAGCTTCATCTACATGTAAAAAACTAAAAATAATGGAAGCATTATGAATAAAGAAAAAGCCAACACTTAACAACATCAACTATGAACACGGCCACAATGTGTCGACCGTATTTGGAAAATAAAAACATTCCTAGACTCTAAATACATAAATAAAAATATCTGTACATTCAGTTAAAAGTAAAAATAAAATAATTCTTGATAATGGCTAAAAGAATAGACGAAAGCACGCGGACATACAGAACATTCGGACAATTTCTGTATACTTTATATCTAGGAAAGAAAAAGAACAGGAAAAATCAACTAAAAAACTTAACCGCAGTAACTTCTCAGTCATCTTTAACGAAACTTTTATCTATCTATCTATCTATCTATCTATCTATCTATCTATCTATCTATCTATATATCTCTATATATATATAAATATATATATATATATACGTGTATATATATATACGTATATATATATATATATATATATATATATATATATATATATATATATATATATATATATACATACATACAGCGTGCGATGGGTAAATTGTCGTCATTTTATATTTTTAATTTCGTGCGTGCGCGTTGTTTATTTTTTATTTTGTCGACTGCACAATATAGTAGGGTCAGTTGGGCACCGTCTGTGAGAAAAAGAGTACCATGACGCAATTCCCACTGCCAATTTGGAAATGGCTTGCTGTATTGCATGGTATTCGCGCCGGAAGCACCAATACGAACATTTCAGAGTGTTTAGGTGTCAATCAGTGCAGAGGATTCAGAAAGAGTTGATTGATTCTAATGGAGATTACGGAGGTATGACAGCTCGGAAAACTCACTGTGATCGTTCTGATGAGAAAAGAACTCTCGAATTTGTTGGTGAGGACCTCAGACTCAACACGAAAGCTGACATCAAGTGCCTTGAAGAGATAGTACCGACCTGGGTCAAGAGAGTGGCTGCTTGAAGACCCTATGTCTGGTAACAGGACTCTGCACCATGACACACAAACAGGAAAATCCAGTCATGGTTGTTAAACTTCTGTGACCACATCAGCCCTTACATTTGACCACCTAACTCCCCAAATTGCAATCCCCTTGATTTTTATGCGTGGGGCACAGTTGAACGAGAGACCAACAAAACTTCATGTAACACCAAAGATGAACTGAGGGTATTATGGCAGCATTCACCAACTTAAACAACAAGACCGTCCAGAAGATTCTGAATTCGTCCGGAAGCCGTGGATGAAGCCAATGGCGATTTTATTGAATAAAATTTACTCTTTAGTATTTCAAGAAATTTTTGTATAATTTTGGTAAATATATCTGTTAAAATGAGGTGTCAGTGTTATTTTCATTTTGTCATCATTCAGACGATAATTTATCCATCGCATCTTGTATATATACATTATCTATCTATCTATCTATCTATCTATCTATCTATCTATCTGAGACAAACTGGAAAAGCTTATAGACGACGCTTTTCGCCGACGTGACGTGTGTTGAGTTCGACTTTTTCAGGTCAGAATGAAAGACAAATCTGTGTGTAAGGAAAAAAAAAAAAGCAATAAATTAATTAGTTTATCAGATTAAAGGACCAGGGACCAGAAAATGTCTGCTTGCATGTTGGCTTGTTTTATCTCTCTATCTCACTCTCTCCGTCTTTTCTTTCTTTCTTTCTTTCTTTCTCTCTCTCTCTCTCTCTCTCTCTCTCTCTATCTATCTATCTATCTATCTATATATATATATATATATATTAGAGTCGCTGGATTTTAAATCAGCCCACTCCGAGTAGATCTCTGTTCTTTTTCTCTATTAGCTCATTTGCTGATTTGTGCTCTTATTACTTGGTTTGAAAATTACACTGAGGCGTGAAACTGACAGTCACCATGCTGTGATAATCGCTCTGTTCACACTGTCTATATCCACAAACGCTCCTATGGTGAACACTATTCCCCTATAAATATAGTACATTTAACTATATATATATATATATATATATATATATATATATATATATATATATATATATATATATATCTGTGTGTCTGTGTCTGTGTAAAAATAAAAAAAATGTAACCTACTGGGAAAAAAAAATGTTTTGCAATAATAAATATTAACTATTTATTTTTCCCCATGATCTCATCCTTGTCAATGCACTTAATTCAGTGTTGACTATTAAGCTCATATCTTGAACATTATTCAGTAAAAAAATTACAGATCTAAATGGTCTGTTATTAATGGGATAGCGTTGGGTTAAGTGCATTGACAAAGAAGGAGATTATGCTGGAAAAAATGTTAAACAAATTGTTACTCATCATTTGGCTACGAACTTATATCCTTACGTATATACATATAAGAACTAAACGAGATACCCCTAGACCTGGGCAGCGGAACGAGAACAGCCTACGCCCGTAGATTAAATAAAGGGTTCAGTTTGATATTCCCTGAAGGATACCCGGGTCGATAAGCATCTGATGAAGGCCAGATTGCACAACGGCCGAAACGGTGAGATAATGACAACAAATATGAAGACAATACCCCGTATGTAAATAGTGTAAATAATGATAACTCCTTATCCCAGATAATCTGGCAGAAAATAAACTCCAGTTAATCTTATCTATCTGCCTGCCTGTTTATCTAGCTGTCATTCACTCTCTCTCATTCTCTCTGTCTGTCTGTCTGTCTCTATCTCTATCTATCTATCTATCTATCTATCTATCTATCTATCTATCTATATATGTATATATATATATACTGTATATATATAGACAGATATACATATGTGTCTGTGTGTGAAGAGAGAGAGAGAGATAGAGAGAGAAAGAAATGGAGAGAAGGAGAGTAAGGTCTTCGAAAAGATAGAATGTATTTTTCACACCTCGTGTCTATCACAGTGATTTATCCCCAAGCAAAGCAGAAAAACACATAAACAGAAAAAAAATAACGTCTATTCAGATTAACTGTTGCATAAAAACGTCCCTTCAGGATAGATTACGTTGACTGACAGCGTCTTACCTCAATTTATCTAGCGTTATACAGACCATAATTAATATTTTATGTCTGCTCTTGCCTACCTCAACCCAAAACAAACGGTCTTCACTTCTCATCCCTGACGAAATCCTGGCATTCAGTCGTCGGTTAGAGCCCCTATCAAGCGTTACTCAAAATCCCACTATTCCTCAGATCATGTTTCGAGAATTCTTCGCGCGTCATCTTCAACTGCCGCTCCTCTATCGTCGTCTCTATCTTTTTCTCAGACACCAGAAATTCTTTTCACATCATCCGCATATTCACTGGGTTTTTTTTTCGATTTAATTTCTACGACACTTTATTGTTTATTGTTGATCTATCTATCTATCTATCTATCTATCTATCTATCTATCTGTTGGTCTGTCTATATATTTCAATTTGTTCAATATGTATCAATCTATGCATAAATGTTCAATCTGTCTAGCTATCTATTCGAATTTATTCATTATTTATCAATCTATACACGGATGTTCAATCTATCTATCTATCTCCCCCTTTTTCACTCTCGGTCTCTCTCTGTGTCTCACTGCCTCTCTCTTTGCCTCTCTCTCTCTCTCTCTCTATATATATATATATATATATATATATATATAATTTATTGAAAGTTATAACATGAATATGTTATAAAATCACTACAAAAATAGCCATTTTGTTTCAACACTTCTGGTGTCTTATCAAGTGATGGTGTTGAATATATATATGCATTTGTTCATTATCTATCACGCTATACACATTTCAATGTTTTCATTATTTATCAATCTGTACACGAGGAAGTGCGGTGGATAGACAGATTTTCGTCCTTTCCTATGTTTCTGTCGGTGTGTAAAACCACAGCTTGTTTTCCTGTTCATTTCATCGTTTCTTCTTGTTACATGTTGTTTATTTTCATAAGTAATTAGTATCTAATGTATGAAACTGGTGAGAACCGTGTATATTATTGAAAAGATTTTCTTTTACATACAATCTGAAACTTTGTCTAATATTGTCAGACTAATAGATAGATAGATAGATAGATAGATAGACAATGTGTGTCAGTCAGTTATGTGCCATGCGTGATACACGCTTAGGCGATCATGTATCATTCGATACATGACTGACGAGGCAGATTTCTTCCCGCAGTAGGTTGCCATTTCTTTCTACGGTAGACCTGTTGCTATCCAGAACCCGGTCTGTCCTGGTATTTACCTATAGCTAGGGGGAGAAGAAGACGATTCATACCTTTCCTAAGGGTATTAGCATGGAAGTGAATGTAATGGATTCGACTGGAATTCGAACTCGGCTCTCCGATTCCTCAATCCGAGCTGCTATCCATTACTGTTCATTACTCCACCGCACTTACTCGTGTACAGATTGATAAATAATGAAAACATTGAAATGTGTATAGATTGATAATGAACAAATGCATATATATATTCAACACCATCACTTGATAAGACACCAGAAGTGTTGAAACAAAATGGCTATTTTTGTAGTGATTTTATAACATATTTATGTTATAACTTTCGAATAAATTATATATATATATATATATATATATATATATATATATATATATATATATATAGAGAGAGAGAGAGAGAGAGAGAGAGAGGGAGACAGACAGACAGACACAGAAAGAGACCGAGAGTGAAAAAGGGGGGTAGATAGATAGATAGATAGATAGATAGATAGATAGATAGATAGATAGATTGAACATTCGTGTATAGATTGATAAATATTGAACAAATTGAAATAGATAGACAGACCAACAGATAGATAGATAGATAGATAGATAGATAGATAGATAGATAGATAGATAGATAGAATAAGAGCTACGATTAAGAGGATTTGGTAGTCAAATTTTAAATGTAAATATTTGCAAAACTTCAGCATTTAAAGTACATAGACTGCGGTACCAAAATGTTTAAGGTCTGCTATATTTATGGGTAAAAGTGCTCAATATCAGGGATAGAGTGTATATAAATACGAGAGTGGACGCACAGATTAACACCAAGCGCAGACGGGCGTGCTCAGAAACTACTAGTAACCAGTCATATCAGGATAAATGGCTCAAAAGTGACACTTTAGTCGTAGGCATGACATGGCGATAGTACCTTGACGTTAATATTTCTTTCTGATAAAATACAAAAATTCCGCCTAAAGCCAACAAAAGAAGTTGGGAGAAACCAAAATATAACAAAAATGAAACTATCTTTTATCCAACTTATACTCGTTCTATTGATTTCATTCTTGCGTCGACTGTCACTCTAATTGATTATCAGGCTGTCTAAACCTGTAAATAGGCGGTTGTCATAGTAGAAACAGTGGTGGTAGTATGAATCACACAAGTGCCTTTTATCAAGCTGTTCAGATACTGACAGCGAGTTTTCAGGGACTGGTTCTTGAAATATGCAATCAGTTCACGGTAAAACAGCGGGTTTACGTGAAGCCCAATGTTTTGCTTCATATTCCACACTATCATTATGACTACCGCCAGCAAAGTGAGAAGTGAAGTAGCATGCGATTTGGGCCACCCCACGGAGGTCATATTGTCACATAGGAGTTATCTAGGGCAAATAAACTTTCAGGTTCCAAACGAACGATTAACTCCATAAGTTTGAGGGCTGTGATAGAAGGCGTACTCAGCCGTTTCTTCTAGATCACTATACTTCAGACGCTAACGCGAATTTGCTATATTTCTATCTTTATATCTCTATTCCTATCTCTATATCTCTATTCCGAATCATATATCATTAACTGGAAGATCGTTTTCATGTCAGATACCAGGTAAGGGAGAACTGGTGAGAAAAACGGTGCCAGGTACCTAGACACCGGCTGCCCGGAGGTCATGTTTTGGAAATCATAATGCATCACAGCCTCAATTCTGGTAGCAGTTTTCCCTGAGTATCATAATATTGCTGGTCTGAGCGAAATTTGAAATGGTTATCGTACTCGGAGAAAAAAAGTTTTTTTCCCCCTGGCGGATACACGTCGGGCCTTAGCACAATGGAGAGAGACACTTCTGAATCTGGGGAAAGCGGATGGCCCCAACATTGGGTTCTCGATTTTCATTCAACTCAAGAATGCCAGCCTCAGCCTGGTTCACCAGGTGTGGCAAAACCAATCCCCGTTGTGTGGGCGTTGGCTGCATACCTTCATGGGTACCTTCGGTCGTCCGCCCTCTCAGAGTAGTGTGTTGGAATTTTATCGGCTTTTTAGCAGTGATGGGGAGGACAGACAAAAAATAACATCAGAGGATAGATTTACATGACGCACACCTCCTCTCTGCCCTTTAGAGATAAGCGTCTGCGGGGTCATGCAACCAGTGACGCGCCCAATCTAAACTGAACTGTTGAATCGTTCTCAAGCTGGAAGCCGGAGCCAAATCACACCTCTAATTTGCGGACAGGTTCATCTCGACAACTGAAACTGACAGGTGATGCTATTCGTCTTTAATATCCTTATTTACAGACTTGGATGTATTTATCCTCCGCTTGTGTCACTCGCTCATAGCTTCCAATTGCAGTGCATCCTTGGCCTATGCCCTGGAAGCTGGAGGCACAAACAATTACATTACCTTCATATGCAGACACTCTTCTTCGAACTCCTCAGAGTTCCGGCACGACGCTACAGAGCTGCGGTGACAGAAAGTAGCCCTGCCTAATAAACATCGTGATGTGGAATGGTTAGGATTCACCTGGACCATGGCATTGGGGATAGGAGATAGATCTAAGTACAAAAGTCTTTACCGAAGCCAGCGATGTTCAGAACAATCGCTAAAATGTGATAATCCACGCTTTCGACTGGTCTATATTGATCAGTGCAGCGCCAGTGCAGTTATCTACCCCTCCTTGATGGTATGCACCATATGCAAGTATCTGTCCTGAATTGTCCTTTTTTTGTCCTGTAAGTATGCGCAAGCCCAATCAACTTGGCAACGACCTGCAGGCGGCTTGTTAGAATCCTGACGAAGATTTTTAGGTACGTTTTGAAGGGAAGATATAAAATAAATTGTATTTTAGAAAATAAAAGCAATTTTCTTGTTAAGAAATGAAAAAAAAAAGAAGAAACAATTAGTTATGAGCTGATTATGTTAATTTTATTTCTATTTCATTTATTACAATTGTACGCCCAGTCAAGAATGGAGGCATTATTTAGGTATGGCTCAGTACTTCTGTTGTCTGGAGTCAGAGCGCATATTCATCGTCCTTGTGAAGTTGGGATCAAAATGTAGAATCTTTTTCAATTTCTTTGATGCGTTCTTTTAGTGCTGTACAGGATAATGTGTAAAACTTTCAGGTGTATGTTGGATTGGTTAATTGTTAACACCCACCTACATATTTATATTTATATTATGGCTTCAAAAACAGATATTTTAAAAATATATATTCAGATAATATATTCAAATATATTAAAACAAAGTGGGATTAATATATTTTTTATATAATACATGAATATATACTTTTAAAATGTCCGTTTTAAAACAATAATAAATTATGTATATATACATAAAGCTCTAGTAGATTATATATATATATATATATATATATATATATATATATATATATATATATTGAACAATAAGAAAATAAAAAATTAAAAATTAAAATCATTAGACACAATGGGTTGTAGATTAATATTCTTTCGTTTTTTTATTATTATTATTCCATTTAGATTCCTCGACTAGTTTCGACCGAAATGGCCATCATCAGGAGGAGAAATATTTCTGCTTGCTGTTGGCAGTGAACTACAGAAATGAATGTCTTTGTTGGAGAAAATGAACTTTTGTCTGTAGTTTTCATTTGTTTTTTTTTTTTTTCTTTTTCACATGAATCTTTTAACATTCCTTGTGTTGGTCAAACAGTCTCTTTTAAGTTGTTATATATATATATATATATATATATATATATATATATATATATATATATATATATATATGAAGAAATATAGTTTTAAGGTGTGCTATATTTATGGGATAAAGTGTTCAATAACAGAGATAGAGCGTATATATATATATATATATATATATATATATATATATATATATGTGTGTGTGTGTGTGTGTGTGTGTGTGTGTGTGGTTGACAAAAAGTTAATTCGGTTATTAAACAAATTTTCTTCTTAATAGAACGAACTTTTTGGTTAACCCAATATGTATACATTTTAAAAAAAAAACTATTTCACTCCAAGCAAGACATTAAAGCCACCTGAACTCACTGGGTTACTGAATGTCAGAGAATATGAGAAAAACTATTATGAAGACGAGAGGAGAATAAACGAAGAAGAATTAAGACGACAGAAGATAACGATTGAGATTTACCATTAGGGTATTTAAAGAAAAGGTACAGAGAAGCTACATTACAACGGCGTGAAAGGGACTAAAACAGAGATGCCAGGTCCGGACCAATAATATTGTAGATTTTTTCTT